TTTTACAAATGCTGGATAAACAGGAGCCAGATGCTGAATAAGGCTACTGATGACAGAAAACCTATTTGAGAGAAAAAATTGGGCGAGCCAGTAGTATTTGTTTTATTATGCACTGAACATTATAGTTAAACGAAATCCTTAAATGGGATTCTTCATTTCTATACTGGACAGTTTCCTACCAGGTATTGAAAAAGATACCTGACCCTTCTGAAGAAGTCATTATATTGACTAAAACGACAAAGATTTAGCACAAGTTATAACCATGTCATGGTAACAAATTAAGCAACTTACATTTTGAGTTTTTTATCTCTGGTATATTATGTAACCAGGTGGTCACAGTTTGTCATTTAAGGTTGTTACGTACTGGTAATTGCTATAGCATAGATGCAATGTTTTGACGAGTGTTTCAACTTTAGTCTACTTTAGAACATTTAATTTTCGTGATATCACTCTTTGAAAAATGAGTTTTTTACTTTATATTGATGGATAATTTTGATGGATTCAATGAATTATACCCAGTAGTAACAGAATCTTTAATCTATTATCTATTTTTGTTGCAATTTGGTACATAATTAAAAACATATTAGAGAGAACACTGATTTTTAAGAGCAATTATAAAAAGAATGAAGTTGGTAATTTATGGTTTTTATCATTTTAAATTAATTTCAATTATGAAACTTTCCAGTGTGCAAAATTTAAAATCAGTTAGTAATTTATAATTGTTCTAAATGTTCTTATTTACATTACATGTAATTGCTTTTGAAGGTTTAGTATTTTTCGTCATATATCTACCTAATGAGACTTGTTGGCTGTAATTAGCAGAGGGTAATAAATCAGGACCATGGTTATTATCATGCTCACAAGTAGATGCTTGAAATCTAAACATTTTTAATTGCTAAATAAATTTTTTTTTGCATGATTTGGATTAATATGGGAATCATATGGCATTAAGGTAGTTGTGCATCATAATTTTTATGGCTTATTATTTGGAGTCTTATGTTATTTTCAGGTGCATATAAATCATTCCATATAGATGTTTCGGTTTTACATTACATTATATTATTACACCTAAATTATTAGTTTGAATAATTTTCTGCAGTGAAAATTTAAAAAATTCAGTGACCTAGTTTTAAAAAGTAGAAAAATGAAGTTCATTGAATTGTCTAATTTTTATATATAGAATATTTACCAACCCTCAACTAATAATCTATGTATTCTTTACTATTTGTGCAAATCGGAAAGATGTAGACCATTTATGAGTTAGTTATGTACCAGAAAATAACGTGGGACTAGAAGTTGGAAGCTATTAAAAATTTTCAACGTAAAGGACAACGTTAAAAATGATTCCTTAGAACTATAATATTTTACAGTTTACAAAGCAATGATGAATTACTGTTGAATAAATCATTCATTACAAACTTATGGAACCATTTGTGTTTTATGTACGTTATAGAAATAGCAATCATAACCCCTCATCGATTTCACTCCGCTTTCTTCAGATTATGAGATCCATAATTTTATCAACTGAAGATTATATCTCCGTTAGACCTTCTTAAAATACTGTTGATTATATAAACTCATTGTGAGGTTGTATAAAAGGTCATTGAGGGGTGTAACATTAGATATCATCAATCACAAAATTGACAATGTCAACACAAAAAAATGTGCAGTATGTTGAAAATATGACCTAAAAAAGAAAATGATTTTTATAGGTTTTAAAGGCTGTTGTAGTTTATTACAAGGCTCTCCTTATCCCCCGAGGCCATGGGGGATCGTGCATTGATCGCAATATGAATAATAGCCAGCCAACTTGTTATGATGTCTATATACAATAATTTACTATTGCTGTTTTCTAGTGTTCTATTTCTGTATATTACTAGAGTATACACTACTTTTCATGTCCGTTCCCAAGAAGCTTAGCTTATGAATAATATATAAATTTTGTACTTTCTCCCAATATCACATGAAAATGATAAACAAATACATGTTCATATATACAGAATGCAAACAACAATGAACACCCTTGCTAATTGTGAACAATTTAGAGGTTAAACAACAGTTTTTAGAAAATTATATCATATGCCATTCATGCAAGTATTATTTCTGAGATTCACCATCCCTTTAAAATTATATACATATATAGTCTCTGTGAAGATATAACAATACCTAAATATTGATCTCACAACAGGAATAAAGTCAATAAAAGATGTGATGTTTCATTAGCAAATACATGGTGGCATGAATTGATCGAATTCTTTGGGAAAGCTAGATGCTTTCAGTCTTCAATGTGTCTACTTGGTATATCAATGTCAGGGCCATCCAACAACATTTATACACCATTTGGAGGATATTCGTTTGAAGCTTATAAACAGGTACAGTTTCTGTTATGGACTGTTTATACGTCAAAAAGATTTAAAGGTGCCATCTGTGTTATATTCAAAGAAACAAGTTTGATAGTCTGTCTGTGCAATTAGGTAAAATCATACAGTAACAACCAGGAAAATCAAATGAAGGAAGTCCTCTTATTTCAGGAAAAACTTGGTTTTTGGGGATGTAGTGTACTGAACAGAGGGGGAATAACACCAGAGTTTAAAGATGACATACGCGTATAATGTAAACCTGTATTGAGATGACATACATCTCTGATTGGTCAAAAGTCAACAAACAAATGACAAATTTTCGAAATACGCTTCAAATAATATTATGTTAATTTCTGGTGCGTTACCCCAATATCATAGCTTGTTATTTCACATCAAAATGAAGAAAGATGTATGGAACATGCCCTTATCAATTAAAACATCACATCAAAGTGTAGTATTTGAAAATTAGCCAGTGAAAATTCGAACAAACGAAGGTGGTAAGCAAGAGACGTAATTATGTCTGTACAGAAGGAAGATACATGATTGCTGTTTATGTATTGTAAAAGTGCATTAATACACAAGGGAAATACTTGATTGTTGTTTGTATATATAATAAAAACAAACTGACATACCAGGGGAATATACGATTGTTGTTCATGTATTCTAAAAGCGCATTGATACACCAGGGAAATATACGATCTTTGTTTGTATTTTGTAGAAGCGCACTCTATACAAGGAATTGAAGGAAAATATAAGATCTTTGTTTGTATTTTGTAGAAGCGCACTCTATACAAGGAATTGAAGGAAAATATAAGATCTTTGTTTGTATTTTGTAGAAGCGCACTCTATACAAGGAATTAAGGAAAATACATGATCTTTGTTTGTATTTTGTAGAAGCGCACTCTATACAAGGAATTAAGGAAAATATATGATCTTTGTTTGTATTTTGTAGAAGCGCACTCAATACAAGGAATTAAGGAAAATATATGATCTTTGTTTGTATTTTGTAGAAGCGTACTCTATACAAGGAATTAAAGAAAATGTATGATCTTCGTTTGTATTTTGTAGAAGCACACTCTATTCAAGGAATTAAGGAAAATATATGATCTTTGTTTGTATTTTGTAGAAGCGCACTCTATACAAGGAATTAAAGAAAATGTATGATCTTCGTTTGTATTTTGTAGAAGCGCACTCTATTCAAGGAATTAAGGAAAATATGTTATCTTTGTTTGTATTTTGTAGAAGCGCACTCTATACAAGGAATTAAGGAAAATGTATTATCTTTGTTTGTATTTTGTAGAAGCACACTCAATACAAGGAATTAAGGAAAATATGTTATCTTTGTTTGTATTTTGTAGAAGCGCACTCTATACATGGAATTAAGGAAAATATATGATCTTTGTTTGTATTTTGTAGAAGTGCACTCAATACAAGGAATTAAGGAAAATATATGATCTTTGTATTTTGTAGAAGCGCACTCAATACAAGGAATTAAGGAAAATATATGATCTTGATTTGTATTTTGTAGAAGCGCACTCTATTCAAGGAATTAAAGAAAATGTATGATCTTCGTTTGTATTTTGTAGAAGCGCACTCTATTCAAGGAATTAAGGAAAACATATGATCTTTGTTTGTATTTTGTAGAAGCGCACTCAATACAAGGAATTAAGTAATAATATATGATCTTTGTTTGCATTTTGTAGAAGCATACTCCATACAAGGAATTGAAGGAAAATATAAGATCTTTGTTTGTATTTTGTAGAAGCGCACTCTATACAAGGAATTAAGGAAAATATATGATCTTTGTTTGTATTTTGTAGAAGCGCACTCTATACAAGGAATTAAAGAAAATGTATGATCTTCGTTTGTATTTTGTAGAAGCGCACTCTATTCAAGGAATTAAGGAAAATATATGATCTTTGTTTGTATTTTGTAGAAGTGCACTCTATACAAGGAATTAAAGAAAATGTATGATCTTCGTTTGTATTTTGTAGAAGCGCACTCAATACAAGGAATTAAGGAAAATATATGATCTTCGTTTGTATTTTGTAGAAGTGCACTCTATTAAAGGAATTAAAGAAAATGTATGATCTTCGTTTGTATTTTGTAGAAGCGCACTCTATTCAAGGAATTAAGGAAAATATATGATTTTTGTTTGTATTTTGTAAAAGCGCACTCTATACAAGTAATTAAGGAAAATATATTATCTTTCTTTGTATTTTGTAGAAGCGCACTCAATACAAGGAATTAAGGAAAATATATGATTTTTGTTTGTATTTTGTAGAAGCGCACTCTATACAAGTAATTTATGAAAATATATGATCTTTGTTTGTATTTTGTAGAAGCGCACTCTACACAAGGAATTAAGGAAAATATATTATCTTTGTTTGTATTTTGTTGAAGCGCACTCTATACAAGTAATTAAGGAAAATATAAGATCTTTGTTTGTATTTTGTAGAAGGGCACTCTATACAAGGAATTGAAGGAAAATATATGATCTTTGTTTGTATTTTGTAGAAGCGCACTCTACACAAGGAATAAAGGAAAATATATGATCTTTGTTTGTATTTTGTAGAAGCGTACTCTATACAAGTAATTAAGGAAAATATTAAATATATTGTCTTTGTTTGTATTTTGTAGAAGCGCACTCTACACAAGGAAGAGCTCCACATGAGTGAGGCAGAAAAGGAAGTGCGAAGGCAAATTGAGAGTAACGCAGCCATAATGCAACGTAGGCGGACTAGGGATGAAATAGAGATGAAATCTAAAGTAAGGAAAGATTAGCTCAAGTATAAACAAACTCGTGGAAATGATTTATTACTTAACCTACTGGTTTATTAATCATTTTTCATTATACTCTTTTGAATCAACATTGTATGTAATTTTGCAGTAAAGTAAATATCTAAAGACATCATAATTATAAAAGATATAAATCTTGGAAACATATTAGGTTTATCACGTTATATATTATTAGGTTTGCAGAGGTGCTTACAGTTTTAAGGGAGGCTTATCTACACATTAATAAGAAAACTTGCACTTATGGTCCCCTAGGGATTAATTCTCTCCCTATTAGTATTTACTTGCCTGTTTGAATATAAGGTACATGAATGGGGGAATTGAGAGGGGAACATGGGTGTCAGAATATGACATTTATTTATGTTCTTACAAAAATATGTACCTTAACCTCAGTATTAGCTGCGTTTGTTGCATACTAATACACACCACAGCAATCATCTTGTTTCATAGGGTGCTAAAGCTAAACAGAAAGCAGAAGTGAAGACTCCAGAAATGTCAAAAGTCCCCCCTGCCGCTTCTTCTCCCAGAGACCCCATGTCTGATAGAACAATTCGCATCACAACCTCAGATGGCAGACAGGTACTATATTCTATCCTCTATATTGTAAATAATGCACCTTCTAGGGTTTGCATGCGACCTCCGACATGGTGAGGGTTGGGTTGGATTTAGACAGCAAGTTTATATACCCAAGAAGCAGAATTTAGACTATGATTGACCATCTGTTTATGCTCTTAGGGTGGGAAGATCAAGTCAATAGGTTGCTCCAATTGTAGACAGCCTGATTCATCCTAAATTCAACTTTATTTTTTGATGTTATGAAACATATACATGTAGTACACTAAGTGTAGGATAATACCTGCTTATTTCTTTCAGAAAACTCTTGAGATTTCACCTGGTATTACATATGATCAATTCACTGAGAAAATATCACTAGAGCTAGATATTCCCAAACATCGCCAGAAAATTCGTTCTGGGTTTCCACCAAAAGTACTGCAGGCTCCCGATGAAAACCACCAGATGGAGCCTCTGGCTTTACAACATGGTGATAGAGTCTCCGTGGAGATTCTGCCAGACCCAGAAGCAATAAGAAGTAATGGCTTCTGTATTTCTCATTTTCCGTTTTCATAGTTGATTATTTTGCTCTAATGAAATACTTGTATTTTGTATCTTGTTTAAAATTGCAAGCACGTTATTGAGAGAAATTTGAATAATTTGAAAAAATGAAGTCTAAAATTTGAGTAAGATAAAAAAAATTGAATAAAACATGTGTGTTTCCTTTACCCTACCTTACATTATGTTTTGGTAGGTTCAAATGAATTCCCCACTTCTCCCCCAGTGTGGCAATCTCCAAGCAGCCAACCCCGCCAGTCATGGTCAACATTTGAACATGAGTCCAAGGATCATTCTGCAACTGAGTTGCTCAAGGGTCTCGATGATATGCAGAATGGTAAGTGAATCACTATTGATGAAATAAAGAGAAATTTTTCTACATGTTCTGTGTATTATAATTTATAGACGGTGACAGTCTAGTCTAGATATATCTATAGCATCACTGACATTAATTGTCACTCTAGGTTGCATCTATATGCCCTGTGTATTGTAGGATGTGCCACCCTAATTTGCATCTATATGCTCTGTTTATTGTAGGAGGTGCCACCCTAATTTGCATCTATATGCTCTGTGTATTATAGGAGGCGACAGTCTAGATATGTCTATAGCATCACTTACATTGATGGCCACCTTAACTGGAAAGGATCTATGGTCTTACTCTCAGGCTATGCCACATCTGTTCAGTGTAGGTGGCTTGTTCTATGAGCAGGTGAAGCGGGACATGGGTCTGGTAGATGGACAGCACTGTACTCTCCCTGCAATACCTGGCAAGGTGAGTAACTTGAGTAAGAAATAGGGAACAGAATTATAAACAGTGAATCAACATTGCTCTTCTTTTTTAGAAAAAAATATCAATTTTTTATTTTTTCAAAATTGTTTCAATTGCCGATAATGTTGTCCTGTCAACAATTGGCATTTTGTAAATATGTAACCGATTGATTTATAGAAATAAATGTGAAGTATGTAAAAAAAAACATTGCTCTGCTGCCATTTTCAGTTGTCACATATTGTATGTATCATTAAAACCAAGGTAAATTATTTCAGGCTGTTTTACATAAAATCTTTTATATTTTCAGCTGTTTCGTTACAACGCTGCTGATAGCCGCTTAGAACTGTGTCTTGAGCCACATGGACACTTCCCTGTTGCCCCAGGAATAGAGGAACATATACTGCAATCTCCAGCCCTCCCCAAACCTCCCAGTTCAGACCATGCACATATAGGAAATCTCCTGGCGTCAGGAAGTAGTGGAGTTGTTACTAACCCAACAATGAAAATACCCAGCATGCCGTTCTCAGGTCAAGGTCATTCATTGTTGTCAAATGCGGAGAATATAAGAATGCCGGGTGATATTGAGCCAAGAGCCCATAATCACAGGAGCAAAGCTGCTAAGGTTAGTGGTCTGTTGGGGAGAACACGTAGTGAGAGTATTGAAGAAGAGCCTGAATTGGAGAACACTGTTGACATGGACACTGCTACTGATTCAGTCTTAGGAGCTACTGATAGTGATTCTTACAAAAGAGTTGGCCCAGGACAGAGTGTCCTTGATAGGTCAGCTCACACAGACAGCTCAGTACATGCTCACAATGAACTGTTTAACAATCTAGTGGCAAGCATACAGGAGACTGTCATGGAGGAGGAAGAGTCTAATACAAGTGAAAATGTTGACACTGATAAAGTATTTGAAGACAATACACTACAACCTGCTAGTGTTGCATGTGCGAGTGATAGTAAAACTATTTGCAAATCATCTCCTAAACAGGAGGATACTATTAGTGCTAAGGAGGACAGTGATATGAATTCCTCCAAAGAGCAGAGAGCAGAAGGTGACAAGGCTAGTGATTCAAAGGAACCTGAAAAAAGAGACCACATGGACACCACATAATTAAACCCCAATGATTTGAATGTGGATCTATGTGTATATCTCCTTCTCTCTATGGATACATATTCTGTACATTTATACAGTGATTGTGTATGACATCTGTAAATGTACATATATTGTGTTTGTACATTGCATATGTGTATATATGTACTCATAAAGTTATTGTACACATTTATATATGTACTCATAAAGTTATTGAACACATGTTTATATGTACACATGAAGTTAATGTACACAAACATACATGCTTTCTATTCCAGACAATTAGTCTTTTGAGAAAATCGAAGGTGCAATATTAACAAATACGAGTACATGCTTTGCCATAGCATTTTCAAATAATTATTGCCATAGAACATTTACATATCCAGCTTTTGTCAAACTGCACATAAGATATGATATTTGACCTGTGATCATATTGTATTGTATATGTAATGCATATCACATTAAACCATACTGATCATTTTTGTATTGCTATGGAGATGTGGTTCAACATTAATGTATAATTATAATAATAAAAATGATTTTATGTTTGAGAAAGGCAATTTAAATTGTAATACATGTATGCTGTTCTTGTATTTAAATGACATTGCAAGTCAAAACGAATTGAATAAAATGCAATTAAATTGGAGAGTTCTGTACTTGATAATTTGTCCAAATTATAAAGTATAATATCCCTTACACTAAAAAGCTTGACATAATGTTTAGGTGTATAGTGACATGAGTGATGAGAGTCAACCATGTGATGCATGTTTTAGTTTGAAATGCATGTTTTAGTATGAAACGAGCTGATGTCATTAAAATCTGGGTGCACTTTGATGAAATTTCATGACCAGGTCCTATTTTCAGATAAACATAACTCATTCCACATATCATCTACATCATCATCTTGCACAAAAGATGCATTAGTGTACCTGGGTACCTGGTTAAGGGTTGATAATTCTTCAGAATGTTTGAATAACTCGAATACTCAGTGGTTTACATGTACTTCTCAAAATTGCAAAATAATCTGAAGTGCACACTGACGTTAACTGGTTGATGTCAGTATATGAAAATCAATACATTTTGAGATGAAATGTAGGTTTAACGACTCGCTTTTAAGAGAATTTGTACTTGTTGAATTTTTGTCCTCTAAGGATTAATTTATTTCTTCCCTTGTAGTAAATACTTGTCCGATTGAGGTATTTGGAAAAAACTTGCAATTGGGTTCCAGGAAAAATTGAGAGGGCATAGCAATCCCTAGGGGTCATAATGACACATTAGAGAGGTCAAGCTTGCACATTAAATCAAAATGTATACGTATCAATCACCCATATGCATTGCATGTCGGTTCAGTGTTTGCTTAGCACGTGAATATGCCCACAATCGTCCCATATCATTCTGGTTCTCTGATACGTATTTTAAACAAGCTCGTTTCATAGGATATTTCGAACTAAAACATGCATGACATACATCAGCTTCTTTAGAAAGAATTGAACTATACATCTTAATAAAAATTGCCAGCATAGTATCCAATAGACATGAGTATAATGATTCCTGTTGACACCAACTTGCATTTTCACATTTTCATAACTCTGAAGCTGAACATCTATTTAAATTAGACTAAACCTCTTGAAGCGCATTCAAAAGTATGTGCGCGGCGCGCTCGACAAGAACATGTAGTTAAACCTCCTTTTATCTGTATATTGACTCCATATAACTTGTTAATCATTCATTCCCATTGCGTTTTGGGTCGTTTATGTTGGGTTGACTAGATGTTTGAAATGACTACTTTGACAATGAACATAACAGCATCTTCAAACAATCACGATCTTTATTCCATAATTCTTTATAAACGGACGTAATATAACCAACAGTTACCTCAACATTTTTATAGAAGTCAATGTCAACTAACATAGACTGACAAGCGTGATTATCACATCTACTTTCGCAGTTTTTGTGTGATTAAGTTAGTAATTTTAAATGTATCCGGTCTTGTATATTTTCCCATCATCTGTACCACAGAGTAGGTTTCCTTCATTGGTTATGGCCACAGAGGTACATTCAACGCCCTTGAGAATCTTTGATATTAGTTTCCCTTTTGAATCCCTAACTTGAACGGTTTTATTACCAGTGTCAGCTATAATAATGTTATCAGATGCGTCCACACAAATATCTTTGGGCTCCTTCAACCAACAATTTACAACATTTTCATCGCCATCTAAAGAAGCCAAAACGATATTCCCCCTCCCTCCAAAGATAAGAACAACTTCATCTTGGCTATTCACTGCCATGGCAATCGGATTATCATATTTGATACCCCGCCAGGAATCAATGACGTAACTTTTGAAACCATTGATGCGGAAAATCGCATCCTCATCAACGGCTGCAATATTGCCATTACTGAATATAGATATACATTCAAATGACGGATCATTCCGTAAACGTATGCTTTTTGAAAATGAACCCTCTCGGTTGTAAATTTTAATTTCGCCATATTGTAAACAAGCTAAACAGTTTCTGGGCAATGCAACTACAGATTGGAATGAGCTAAAGTCTCCTTGAATTACGTACTTGAGATCTCTCATCGATTTTTCATAGACCTGTACATCATCACTGAACTCCCCTCTTATTATAGCAATTTCACCATTTGATTTGACAGCCATAGATTTGATAGATGAAATCCAAGAAAAGTCCTTCAGTAGCAGGGCTGACGTGATTTCATCCTCTTGATCTCTAGGTGCACCTGGTAACAAGGCCGTGGCTTCTTTGTTCGATTGCTCATCGGGCATTTGATTTGGAACTCCCTCTAATTCTTCCTTCAGCTTTCCCATCGCCAATCTTTGTTCTGATTCAACCTCACCCGGTTGGAAAATACATAGCCCTACATCCTAAAAAATTAATTGTTAAAGTAGGAAACATTCAACAGAGTCGTTTCCATCATTTTTGCTCGAGAGATCTAATTTTTATGTATTAGCCTTATGTTGCTTTGATTTACTCAAATGACCGAACGATGAACAAAATCCATTACTTAGATCATGGTGAATTTGAGATTTGTTCGGATTAGCAAAATGCTGAGGATATTCTATGATCTACTAGTATAGTTTTTATTTTGACATAATATCACAATAAGATTTGAGTAAAATTTATATACCTGGATAAGTGTATCAAGGACCCTTTCGTCATTCAATTCTTCTGATTTCTGGTCAACTTCAGGGGAAAAACGAATTACCTCTGTAATATGGCCGTGGTCTTCAAGAGTTTCCAAGAATTGTTTTGTTTCCTTCAAGTCATCTGTTTTTTGTCCAAAAGCTTCAATTTTCTTCACAGTCTGCTCCCAAAGTTCACAAACCTTTGTAAGCTGCTTATCGTAATAGTTCTCAACATGCTTCATGAACTTTTCCTTTTCATTAGAAATCTCTCTTTTCAAATCATCAACTTCATTTTGTTTGGACTCTTGTATTTGCTTTACTCTGTCACAGTATGTAGTTATCTTTGATTCAACGGTCTTTAGCAGCTTGGCTATACGTTCTTTCACGTTTGTTCCTTCTTCAACTACATCGGAGCATGAATGTCCACTATGAGTGGTCACATAGCATGTTGAGCAAATCACACAGCTGTCATCTTTACAGAAATACTTCAACACTTCTTGTGGGTGTTTCTCGCAATATACGCTACGCTCAGGAAGTGCAGCAATTGTATGTTTTACATCTTTTGCCACATCCCCTGTGAGTAGAATCATTTTATGATGCCTTGATGACTTCATTCTCAAGTGAAGCTTTGTGCAGTTTTGGCACAGATGTTCATCACAATCCATGCATCGCTTCTCGGCTTTAACATTTTCGCCATCTTCACAGCATATATCACAAAACTGCTCGTCAGTGACACCATCTTTGGACATACTCAATGCATCGTGAAGAGTGTTGAAGAGGAAGTTAGGTTTAATTGCTTTTAGGCCCCCATCTGGTATGTCCATCTCCTCCTTGCAAACTGGACAAGGCAGTTTTGTGCCATTCTGATGCTTTGTCGCCCAAGTGTCTACACAACCGAGACAAAATGTATGTAGGCAAGGCAATACTTTCGGATCTGTGAACTGTTCCAGGCATATTGGACATGTCAGTATCTCTCTGAATCTCTCATCTTGTGTTGGTGGACCGCAGCTTGCCATTTTGTTGCGCAAAACCATTAATATACAACGTTTCCTCCTATATTGATCTCTGCATTGTCTTACAAATCAAAGGTCTCAGCTGATTATCAGTTAACTGTAAAACAGAACTTAAAACGTTCAGTTAATGATTTTATTTTATATGTAGATGACTCTCCATCTCAAAATGTAAACGATCATAAATTGATTTAGGCATAGTAGACATTAATGATTGGCTTTGAAATATTCAAATCAAACATGTTTACGGGCATTTTGTATTCATTACATTTCAATAAAATTGAAACGAAACACTTAACATAATCGATTAATCGATATTTGCATATGTTCCCTAAACTCGTCTGTCATATGTTGAGATTGATAAGACAGAAGAGTAGATCGTCGAAGCTGTTTGCAAGTATACATATCTATCAGAGAACACTTTTTGATATTCTTTTAATTCTCATTGTTACAAGGGGTTCAAATTGCAGCATAGAATTGATACTGTTCGCTAACGGTAATAATACCTTATGCTCAAACTATGATAACTTAATTGTCCTATTCATCCCCAGCAATCGCACCCCGCCACAAAAATACTTAAACAAATCATAATTTGAAATACTAAGAATATACCATATACAATGTAAATGTTTAAAAATTTCCAGGGATGAACCCCAACAACACCCTTTTGGGGCTCGCTTCGCTCTCATTGATGAAAACCCAAAATATCCCACCCTCCCTTCACATTTGCTGGCCACGCCCCTGAGATATTTTAACTTTCGTGTGAATTGTTAAATATTTAGGAGTTAAAGCAAGCATATATAATTGAAACGCCAACGTATACGTATACCCAATCAATGCCCATACAAATGCATCGCTTAAATATTTTCCGTTCACGTTAAGGTTGTGAAAAACATTGCAAGCTTAAACTCCCTATTGTAGCGAAACCCAAACAAGAAAGGGTCTAGAGAGATAATGGATGAACGAATGAGATTTGCACCATAGTCAAACACACACCGGCCAATACAGCTGTAGCTAGAACCACTAGACCATAGATGATGGGTTGAAAGAACCAGTGCTTAATACTGCAAAATCATTGGGAAAATCCTTCGTCCGTCGACCCGGAAAATAAGTCAAAAATGTTGTCGTTGAGCAAGATATTGGAGCTAAAACATACATGACATAGGCCTACATCACTTTCTCTAGAACATATTCTACTGTGTATCGAAACCAAACATGCCAGCAAATTATTCAATAAACATGACTGTAATGATTCCATACTTTTCAACTTGAAGATTTGAAACGTCCGGCATTATTTTTCTAAAATTCTGAGTTTTCCAGGCTGTAGAAAAATAATTCCAGATTTTCCGTGCTCGATGTTTTAGATACGGTCTTAATTTCGTAACAGTTTACGTGTAATTTCAAATTCCCGTTCTAAACGACCCTGAAGCTGAGCGCATATTACAGATGTGTTCAATGGTATTAAGATTATACTGGCTATTTTTAAAACCCTTCAGTTAAAATTTGTAAAAAGTTGACACTATAGTGTACTACAAAAAAGATCTTTCGGAGTAAAAGACGTCTCAAGCCTGTGCATTGGACAGCGTGGGTTTAACGAACGGGGGGGGGGGTTACATGGGTCCAACAGGGAGTTTCCTTTCAATTTGAGTTATAACTAAACCATAGATCTATTTTTTAAATGTAACGGTTTAAAATATATTCTATTCGAATTCTATCACTTTTAAACCACTGTGTAAACTATACATCTGCTTTAAATGGGCTTTTTTGCAGATTATTGATGTGGATGTACGCACCCTCGATGCTATGTTGCGAAAAAAGAATATCGTTAAATTGTGCTCGTTTCTTGTATTCGTTTCTCTTATAAAATTACAAATTATTATATTAGTTTATTCTTTTGGTTTGTCAATTCTAAACAATTTCAAACTTTTAAATTTAGCGGTATAATATTAGGCCATCAGCTTCACCCCAAAATTTAGGTTATCGGTATCAAATCAGGGGAATAATCGCCATAGTGATTTTTGGGAAGGTTAAGACCTCTAGAGTAAGAAACTATGTGATAGCATTGCAACACTTGTAGCTAAATGGGTGTTATCACCCATTTTTCAAAATGGCCGCTGGTGCACGTGTTACAATATAAGAGTGGGTATATATAAGTACACTGAGATGCAGAAACTATGATTTTATGGCCTATAGTAGGGTTTAGGGGTCAAGGATTTCATTTAAGCCAAAATCTAAGTCATCAAGCAATTACTTCTTAGAGAAATCCAAGATGGCCACCAAAATGGGTGCCAAAGCGAATAGCGGTATGTAACCATTGATTTAAGCTCAAATAAGAACAGTGATTTTGGATATCATGTCACAGTTCTCGAGTCAAGGATCTCATTTATGTCTAAATCAGAGTCATCAAATAATTAACTTTTCATAGAAATACAAGATGGCCACCAAAATGGATGCCAAAATGATTACCAGTTTGTAACCATTGATTTAAGCTCGAAGGAGAGTTAAAACAGTGATTTTGGAGATCATGTCACAGTTCTAGAGTCAAGGATTTCATTTATGTCTAAATTGGAGTCATCAAATAATTACCTTTTCATAGAAATACAAGATGGCCACCAAAATGGGTGCCAAAATGAATATGTAACTATTGATTTAAGCTCAAAGAACAGTGATTTTGGAGATCATGTCTTTGTTTTAAGGGTCAAGGATTTCATTTATGTCTAAATCTAAGTCATCAAACAATTACTTTTTATAGAAATCCAAGATGGCCACCAAAATGGGTGCCAAAATGAATATGTAACTATTGATTTAAGCTAAAAGAACAGTTAAGAACAGTAATTTTGGAGACTCTGTCTATTTTGTAGGGCCCAAGGATTTCATTTATGTCTAAATCTAAGTAATCAAATAATTACTTTTTATAGAAATCCAAGATGGCCACCAAAATAGGTACTGAAATGAATATGTAACTATTGATCTAAGCTCAAAGAACAGTTAAGGAAAGTGATTTTGGAGACCATGTCCAGGTTTAAGAGGCCAGGAATATCAATTTTGTCTATAATTAAGTCATAAAATAATTCCTTTATTTTGATATCCAAGATGGCCACCAAAATGGCTCCAGAGTCACGATTTTGAGGACTGACTAAAATGTTTATCTTCATCAAACTCTTTCTGGTATATTACAGGGTGTCCCGAAAGTATGGGAGCCCCCCTAGGCAGACATATACCAATATCTCGATGGTATGTGTCATATATCATTTTAAAGCTTATCCAAAGTTACATTGATTTGCCAAGTATCATGGTTCAACTCACAAATGGTAAAAAGGACAGGTGTTAACATGGCCTAGGGAGACAAATCGTCTATTATTTTGGTGTAAAACTGACTTTAATTTTGGCTAAATCCTAAATTTTGAAATACCTATAACTTTTCCCATTTGTTAGTTGAACCATGATATTTGGCAAATCAATGTAACTTTGAATGAGCTTTAAAATGATATATGACAAATACTATGGAGACATTTCCAGTGTCTGCCTAGGGTACACCCTGTATACACTTGTCTTTGAGGAATTTATTGTGCTTGAACTTCTCCATCCAATAATCTACTTCTTCCTATGGGCAGTCTACTTCTTTCTTTAGTCAATGTTTATGATACTGAGCCACCACAAAACTAAGGGAAAAGAAAGCAAATTACAGTAATATTGCTAATGCGATGATCATAATATTTTATTTCGCAAATGTTCATGTAATTGTTTGTTCTTATTTGGCATCCATCTTGAATTCAGATTTTAATCACAGATTGTTTCATGGCATAGCTCTAGATAACTGAAATTCTTGACCTCCAAGTAAACATTGCTTCCAAAACTATTGTTCTTGGTGATCTATGTGGTTAAATGGATAGTTATATGAATTCATTTTGGCAGCCATTTTGGAGGCCATCTTGGATATCCATATAAATAAAATGTTTGTTGATTTGACAAAATTAAAATCATTGACCTCACAAACTTAAAATATCAAAAATTAATGTTCTAACTCCTCTATATGTTTGGATAATAAATCTTATTTTCACTTCGGCAGCAATGTTGGAAGCGATTTTGGATCCAAAGAAAGGAATTAGTTATATATATTATTAGTCAGGGTGGTCAAAAAAAATGGAAACCCTGCATTTTCTTTATATCTTTGTCACTTTAAGGACTTACTCCTTGATATTTCACACATGTGTACATCATTCAATTTCCTACCACCCTACCATCAGACTGATAGTCACAATTTTACAGCACTTTGAATAACATGCTTCAGATTTGGCCATTATCGCGCTGTAGGCAAAACAGCACAGTTGCCAATGACCCGAATGCATTCCTCTGCAGGTATGGCCTGAATGACACAAATGATCTCACTTTTGAGGTTTGCAATTGTCCTGAGGTCATTCTCATATACTCTATCTCTGCCATATCCCCAAAGGTAGGGACATTTTAGATGATGAGTAAAGGTTTCCCCACAGCGCAATAGTGGCCACTGGGCATGTTCTTTAAAGTACTGTAACATTGTGACTATCAATCTGATGGTCATGAAATAAAGTAGGCTGGTAGCAAATTGAATGATGTACAAAAGTGTAAAATATCAGGGAGTTATTTTTTAAAATGACAAAGATATGAGGAAAATGGTATTAGGGTTTCCATTTTTTTGACCACCCTGTACGGTTTTAGACATAAGTGAAATTCTTGACACCAAAAATCTTGGCATGGTCTCAAATTACTGTATAAACTGTTCTTTGAGCTTAAATCAACATTTACTTGTTATTGGCACCCATTTTGGTGACCATCTTGAATTTCTATGAAAAGCAATTATTTGATGACTCAGATTTAGACATAAATGAAACCCTTGACCCCTAAAACCTAGACATTGTCTCCAAAATTACTGTTCATAACTGTTCTTTGAGCTTTAAATCAATTGTTAAATATTCATTTTGGCACCCATTTTGATGGCCGTCTTGGATTTCTATATAAAGTAATTGTATGATGACTTAGATTTAGACATAAGTCAAATCCTTGACCCTTAAAACCTAGATATGGTCTCCAAAATCACTGTTTTTAACTGTTCTTTGAGCTTAA